CCCCCTCCTCTTCTTCTTCTTCTTCTTCTTCTCTGAACCCAAAGACTGATGTGCACTAGGTTCACACTCTGCCACTGTGCTACACCTGTAGCCCCTGGATTTCATTTCGTTGTTGCTGTTGCTGTTGTAACACAATTCCAGGTTTTTGCTAAAGTCTGCCATTAAGTAGGCTTATGTGAAACAAGTAAGTGGGTTTTACTGGGTCCCTGAGATATGATTAAAGAAGAAAACAAACTCATCCCTAGGAAGGTCTCAGGCAGAAAAGAAGCAGAGTAGAAAAAACAGAGTGACCATTTTCATCCTCTTTTAAGTGGATGTTAAGGTGTACGTATTAATATCAAGGTACTAAGAAGACGCTAAGTGGGTATTGTCAGCATTTTCCTAGGCATTACCAATCTATCTGGCAAAATTTGTTCTCTGATGATCAGCATTAAGGCAACTTGCTCAGTAATTTCCTTAGTATATGAAGTGTCTTGCATTTTCTTGTGCTAGCTGTATCTTTCTCTAATTCCTTAAATTAGTTAACAAAATCTTCACTATTCAGAGAACAATCTTTAGTCATTTGAATAGCTGTATTATTTGAAGAGAAAAGCAATGATATCTCTTACTTAGCCAAATATGTTGACTTTCTGGTTTTGTCTTTATACCCTTCATAGTGGAATGAGTGTAGTTACTTACTTTCCTCTAACATCAGTTAAAAAAAAAAATGCTGAACTTTACCTGAAAATATAAGGAAATACAAGGACCAGAACACCCTTCGAAAGTCACCAACTATTAAAGAGGAGTTATGCATCCTTAAAATCCGTAAGTCAGAGTTTGTATCCTGCAACTAATTCAATACTGAGTTGGATTTAAAACAAAAATACAATAGCTTACACTTAAAAGAGAAAAAGAAATCTACATAAACACTGCACACTCTGATACAAACCGCATCAATACGCAACAGGCAGTTTATTTGTACTTCATGGAATTAGACACAACTTTCAAAAATTATACAGTATTCAGAATACAAGAAGACACTCTTATCTGCTACCTAGTGGTATATCCATGTCTGTTTTTTGGTTTGGGGGGGTTGTTTTGTTTGGTTTTGGTTTTGGTTTTTTGAGACAGGGTCTCACTATGTAGTTGAGACTGACCTGGAACTCACTATGTAGCCCAGGCTGGTCTCGAACTCACAGCAATCCTCCTGCCTCAGCCTCCTGAGTGCTGGGATTACAGGTGTGCGTGACCACGCCCAGCTTGTATATCCATATCTTAAATAGTGAAAACTTTTGTTTTCTTCCCGTCTAGCTCCAAAGTTTCACTAGCCCATTACTATTTTTAAGTAGTCCTAGCAGTAAATTTCAGAGTAAGACATTTTTCTCAGACTAAGACTGATTTAAACTAACGAGATATATGAACTGTCATTTTTATCAGTATGGCAGAACTGCTCAAGCATTCCTAAATTCCAAGTATATTAAGCCTGTCCTATGTAGTGAAAGTGTATACTTTGAGATCATTGTTTCTTTACATCAGTAGAGTATGCTGTAAGCACTAAAACACCTTTTCCACGGAGTTTATCTATGACATTGCCCCTGGGTAGCTTGAAATGGATCATCTTTCTACTTCCCGGTGGGATAAGACTATTGTCTTATATAACAAAGTGAACTTCCAGAGTTCAAATAGGTTCTAGAGGAGAAATCAATGACAGGAGTAACCAATTAAGGGGAACATTTTTGGAGAGAAAGCATATCCCCTAGACAATGCAAAACCCAAGTTTCAGGGGAACTTTAGTCTCTACTGGAAGAGCAGGTGCAGACCAAAGGGTGGTGGGAACAAAGGTAGAAAACCCCACAGCGCTCGCATTGTCACTTTCCAGCTGTTTTTTGTAATCACTGAGCTTAAGTTCCCTTTGGAAATGTGAACCACCTCAAAAGAAGCTGAAATCAGCCCGCTATGCTTTTCTGAAGCCCGAGTCATCCCGAATGAAGAAATCCTATTGTATCCATTGTTAAGACTTCTGATGAAGAAATGGACACTCCTGAGGCAGCTGTTCCCACCTAAAAGAGCCCTCCAGAAAAGGGCCATTTTCAGCTAGGCTAGGATTTACTGCACAGAAATATAAAATGTCATTTAGCATGTGGCATCACTGTCGCAGCTGCATGTGCGTGCCCCGCACTGTCGATCAGTGTTTCTCCCCGGGGTGCTGTTGGCATTTGGGTCTGGACATTTCTTTACCACGCATTGCAGGATGTTTAGTACTGCAGGCTGCTGCTGGCTAAATGCCAGTAGCATTCAAAGGCATTGTGAAAACCAAAAGTGAGAAGCCTTCCGCGTGTCCTTTGGCCCCTATAGGAGAGTGCTACCCCCTCCCCTGAATACCACTGTCTATTG